ATCCCGCACCCCTGCCTACAACACGGGACTCATGACGGGGGACATGGACCCGTACAAAGCCGCGTCATATAACGTGCGGAGGGCGGTGAAAGAGGCGAATCAGCGCTACGGGAGGAAACTAGAGTCACAACTCCAACAGAGTGACTCTAGGAGCCTGTGGCGGGGACTAAGGACAATAACGGACTATAAAGCACCAACAACCGGTATGACGAACGCGGCCGTGACTCTGGCAGACGAGCTGAACACTTTCTATGCTCGCTTCGAGGCTGCAGCTAAGGACTCCAACAATGCTAGTGTTAGCGGCGCTAACGGCTGCAGACAGGAAGATACTGCCAGCACCGGAAACGTGCTCGTCATCTCCGAGCATGAAGTAAGGAGAGCCTTCAAGAGAGTGAACACCAGGAAAGCAGCAGGACCAGACGGCATCCCAGGTCGTATCCTAAGAGACTGCGCATACCAGCTAGCTCCTGTGTTCACTGAGATATTCAACATCTCTCTATCTCAGTCGGTGATCCCCACATGCTTCAAAGAGTCCATCATTGTTCCTGTCCCGAAGAAACCCCACCCTGCTTCTCTCAATGACTATCGCCCTGTAGCCCTCACCTCAGTAGTGATGAAGTGCTTTGAACGCCTGGTCAGAGACTTCATCATTTCCTCACTACCAGACACACTGGACCCACTACAGTTTGCTTACCGTCCAAATCGTTCCACAGACGATGCCATCTCTCATCTCCTCCACACATCACTCACTCACTTGGACACTAGAAGGGGGAATTATGTTAAAATGCTCTTCATAGACTACAGCTCTGCATTTAACACCATAATTCCCTCCACACTCACCACCAAGCTGGAGCATCTGGGACTCAGCTCATCTATGTGTCTGTGGATCTCCAACTTCCTAACTGGCAGACCACAGGCAGTAAGGATGGGCGGACATGTCTCAGCCTCCACCACTCTCGGCACTGGAGCCCCCCAGGGGTGTGTTCTGAGCCCCCTGCTGTACTCTTTGAACACATATGACTGTGTGGCCACTACCAGCTCCACCACCATCATCAAGTTTGCTGACGACACCGTCGTGGTGGGCCTGATCTCTGATAACAATGAGACGGCCTACCTGAAGGAGATTAGGAATCTGGAGAACTGGTGCCAGAGGAACAACCTCCTTCTAAACGTCAGTAAGACAAAGGAGCTGATAGTGGACTTCAGCACTAAGCAGGAGAGGAACTACCAGACCCCTGTCATCAACGAGTGCCCAGTGGAGAGAGTGGACAGCTTCAAATACCTCGGAGTTCACATCACGCAGGACCTGTCATGGTCCTGTCACATCAACACCGTGGTGAAAAAGGCCCGTCAGTGTCTCTACCACCTCAGACGCTTGAGAGACTTCCAACTGCCCTCCAAGGTGCTCAGGAACTTTTACTCCTGCACCATAGAGAGCATCCTGGCGGGAAACATCTTAACCTGGTTCGGGAACAGCACCATGCAGGACAGACGAGCTCTACAGAGGGTTGTGCGGTCAGCTGAGCGCACCATCCGCTCCGAGCTCCCTGACCTGCACTCAATCTACAGCAGGCGGTGCTGGACCAAGGCCAGGAAGATCGTGAAGGACCTCAGCCATCCCAACAACAGACTGTTCTCTCTGTTGAGGTCAGGAAAGCGATTCCGCTCCCTGAAGACCAACACAGAGAGACTGAGGAGGAGCTTCTTCCCGCAGGCGATACGGTCTCTCAATCACACCACCATACAGTACTGACCCACACATACAGTTCTTACACACACTGGACATTCTGGACATTGTTTTCACTTCATTACTTAAATCACGCTGCTGTTATTGTGTATATGCTGCTGTTATTGTGTATATATTTATTTGTATTTCTTCATACATTTTTATATAGTTCTATATTGTGTATTTTGTTGTACAGTTATTTTATTTTCAACTTTAATTTATATATTTTCTTATTCTCCCAGTTAAATTTACCCTTCATTCTAATTTGTGTTGTACAGTTATTTCATTTTTAACCTTAATTTATATTTTATTCCTTCCTAGTTAAATTTACCCTTTTTAATTTTTCATATTTATTTCCTATCTTATTCATAGCCTTTTCCTTTTTTGTTTTCTTTAGGTCACGAGCAGTTGTCCAAGCATTTCACTACATATCGTACTGTGTATGACTGTGTACGTGACAAATAAAATTTGAATTTGAATTTGAATTAGGTTATCCCAGACTGCTTTCTATCAATACTGCATAATTCGGCACCAAACGATTACAAACATAACCTCTCTGAAGTCTTTAATTGGAAGTTCAATTTTTCAACACTACTTGGATTTTGTCCCAGTATTGTAAGTTCTGAATTTTCTTAGTGTTCTTGGTTTCATTATTATTCATAATTTCTGATTAATATAAACATATATAAATATAAACATTTCGATTTCCTGTTGGTCCTCTTTCTCATCTAGTATTTTCAATTTCATTCTTGTTATTTTAGAAATATGTTAAATTGTTATTAAAATATTATATTTCTTTGCTCAGTTTCACTGTGATTCTATGTGCTTTTTTCCCAATTGTGAGCCTTTAGTTCTTGTTGTAGTTGAGTCCCAGTTACTGTTACATGGAGTTTGTTATTTGTGTTTAGTTTCCTCAGTATTCCTTCCTTCCTTCCATTAGTTTTTTCCTGTGTCATTGTCTTGATTGTCTACACCTGTGTTTAGTTTGCCACAGCTGTCGCCACTTCCCTGATTGCCCTTGCGTGTAAACAGGCCTGCCTTTCCTGAGGCTTTGTCACAATATCTGTTGTTATTTCTGTGTGCCACCTGAGGGGTATATATTAAAGATGATTTCATTCTGTTAGCTGCTTTGAGAAAACCGAAGATCCCAGTGAGAGATAATGGGTATAACAACAGTGGTTATCAGCTTTCTCACTTAAACTGCGTTTTCTGTTTCAGGCCCTGAGCATGCTCACACAGAATAGGGGGTTTTCCACATTATTATATGACTCTGACGTTATATGACTCTGGTTTCTATGAGTGCCACCTACTTCAATCAGAGATATTATCACATGATGATAAAATGGTAATAAAATTCTTTAGAGGACACATAAAAAATAACAGTAAAATGCAAAAGTGTTGACAGGAAATTAATGCCGGAGGAAGTCTTTAATCTTGGGCTTTAAAACACAGTGCAATTTAAAAGAAAGGAAAAACAAAAACATGTTAATACTAGATAACCATTTTAATCCTGACTGTTTTCTCTGTGCTGCTGTTTCTTTCTAAAGTTATGCTTGCACATTCAAGCTCTGAAACTATAAACTAGATACTCTTAAACATTAAAGGTGATTGAGTGTGCTCAGCTCTGACTTTGTCCAATAGCATAATAAAGATATGGAAACTGCTTCACTTTTTTTTGACAGATCAAAGTACAATGAATGCTGCTGACGGAATAGGAGTTCTTGGTGTGTTTTGTGTTCTAGCAGCTGCAATGTGAGACTTATCACAAGATTAGAATCAAGTATACAAACCTTTACACATTCCCTGCATCGTTGGCTAAATATGTACAAATCTCACTAATAATGTGACACAGTTTTTGCAGGTGTAACTTTACAGGTAGGCTTCATCCCTGATGTTGATGGTTCAGCTTAGCAAATTAACTATATATTAAATCTATATTTCGCTTTAAACACACTGTAAATTAAAAAATTAATGAGAACATGGCGCATCTAGCCACATGTAGTTTTAAACTGAAACCCTGAACACACAATCTCCTCTCGACCATATTATGTGTCTAGTATAGGATACCCTAGTCATTTAGCTAGGAAATAAAGAACACATATGAGACAGAAAAGTCACACTAGCAAGCTATATCAAGCTTTAAGCCATTCAGTCTTCCATCTTAGTACCTCCCTCTGCCAAGTCATGTTTCTTTTTTGTATTGTTGTATGTTTTGTACTTTCACCAATACTATCACCAATAATACCTATTCAGATAGTAAAAATTAATTCCAATATTGTCTCCATTTTATCATCATCATCATCATGTAACCTCTCTGATTGGAGCAGGTGACATTAGGGATCATTTTGTGAAGAGTATGAGTCATGTAAAGAAAAACATCCCTTGTGAAGCAGAAAGCCTAGGTTAACAAATGGTTAGATAGCGCTGATAAAATTCAGCAGAATTTAATTTAAAACTGTTAATGAGTGTCAAGTGTTCCTCTGACTGTGAGGTGTCCACACTTGAAAAAGACCAGACTTTGAATTTCACTCAACTTTATTTAGACCAACTAGTTTGATAGCTGGTAGGTAGCAGCAGGTAAAAAACCTTTCAACACAAAAATAAAGAACATTTCATTAACCATTCAGATAAATTACATGCATTACACAGAAGACAGATGAAATAACAAAATACACTTCAGTAAAGCCATTTACCATGTGGTTAACTGTGTTAATTTAACTGTGGTTCTTAAATATACAAAATGTGTCTTCTTTGCATTAACACTTTTTTATAAACAATTGTATTTTAAAGTATACATTTTAGAGTTCAAACATTTTAATAGACTTTAACTAAGGATTTTCTTTACAAAGAATTATTTTCTTTAAATCAAAACCAAACATTTATTCACTAGTTTTACGATCCACCCAAGGATTTGGGGTAACTATTTTTAATATTAATTAACATAAATATGTGGGAACACTAACTGCACAAACAATTTATTCAAACTTAAACATTCATTTTTGTCAATATAATTAAACTTAAATGCAGCAACTATTTCCCTAAGCGTAAAACATTTGCACAACTGAGCTTCCATAGTCCCAGATACATCTGCAAAAGCAAAATGTGAACTCAAGAGCTTACCGATAGCCTGTCTTGTTCAAAGTCTTCCTCACAGTGGAAAAGTGCTTTGTTTGCCGTCTTCTCAGTATGTTGCACCTGGGTCAAATGACTGCTGCATGCATTTAAAGGTTTACTCAGCACGCCCACCCTTGATTGCTCTAATGTGGCTCACCTGGCAGGGCGGCGCACACCAGGCCGTGCTTAGTTGTTGATTGCACCCAAGGTCTAATCAGCGGCCATGGGTAAGCAGCAGCACCGAACAGGTAGAGGGCAGGAGGAGGAAAAGAGGAATAACAGCCACACCTACTAGGTCAGCGCGACAATGAGGAAGCAGGCCTTTATGTGTGATCCTGCATGTGTGCTATACTGTTAATAGGCTACAAAGTGTATAGCTGCAAATTGCTGTGTCACTTCCAGCACAGAAAGACTGAGGCGAAGAAAGAACTGATCTTCTCCAGATGCGCTTTGCTGAACAACTTAAACTTCCAAAGAGCAATGCAGGTTCATCAGGGATGCAGACCATCAGAACAAGTAAAGGTCAGCTTTGAATCATCTCCTTGTGAACAATCAATGAACTCAGAATGTATTACTGTCATTTTACCGTGGCTTGGACTTAAAAAACACTACTGCATTTTGCCAGTTCAACATAAGTTCTCTGTTCATTCTCTCAGTGAAAATAAAAGTGCATCTGTAACTTGTGCATTACTCATATATACCGTAGTCAGCATACCAGATGGGAAATTCAGAAAAATGAAGCCAATGCAGAAGTTTCTTTAGTTTATCTCCGACTTAATTAAGATAGCAATAGTTGTGCTGTACCTACTCAGTCCATATTTCTCTTCTGCTAATGGAGTTGACTTGGATTGTACTTAACAAGCCAACCTTCTTTTCTGGCTAAAAGCACACCCCTTTGAAGTGGGTGGAAGGAGCACTACAGCCACAAAAATCGCAACAATCAGTTGGGCATGACAACCTGGGAAATTGCTGCAATTGCTGCTGTCTTGGATGCAGTTTTCAGTAAAATACAGTTACTTTTGAACCGGTTTGGTTTGGTTGAACTATTCTGTATTCTAGAATTGACCTTAAAGATTTTTTTTCTTCTTTAAAACTCATACCAAACTGTTGTTCCTGGCTGGCAGCTTCATTTTCAATCCTTTCAATCCCACTGAGTGTGGAGATCTTTGTCCAACATATCCACTATCCCTCCTCTGCACATTTCAAAACCATCTCACTCTTGCCTCTCTAACTCTGTCTCCAAAACACTCAACCCAAGCTATTCCTCTGAAACTCATTTATATTCAAATCTCGTCGCTCCCAGTGCTCCCAGTGCTCCCAGTGAAAACTTTAACATCTTCAACTCTCTCAGCTCCAACTCTGCCTCTTGTCCTTTTGTCACTGACACCATCTCCAAACCACACATCACTTGTAAACCTTCCCTTTCACTCTTGCTGCTATTCTTCTGTAACAAATCACCCTGACACTTGTCTTCATCCAGTCCACCTTGCTTATATTCTCCTCTTCACCTCTCTTGTACACTGTCCATTGCTTTGGATGGTTGACTCAAGGTATTTAAACTCATCTGCCTTCACTGCCTCTACTCATTACAAATTCACTGTTACAGCTCTCTCCCTCACGTATTGCATTCACACATATATTCTGTCATGCTTCTACAGACTTTCATTCCTCTTCCCTCCAGAGCATGCCTCCGCCTCTCCGGGTTCTCTTCTATGGTGGTATCTTATTACTCTCACTACAGATCACAATATCATCTGTGAACATTATAGTTTGAGAACTTCTGTCTGACCTCAACTGTCAACCTGTTCATCAATATTCCAAATTAAAGGCTCAGAGCTTATCACTGTTGTAATCCAATCCTCACCTTGAGCCCACCTGTCACTCCTACCACACACTTCACCACAGTTTGGTTATTCTTATACAGTACTTGACATACTTCTGTCATTCTTGACTTCCTCATACAGTACCTGTTACGGCCCTGGGCCTTGGAGAAAGTGAGACCGCCTTTTCCCTTCAAGCAAAGCCAAGAGTGCCAGGACTCTCTGACGATTGGCTAGCTGGAGACTCATGCCAGCCCCTGTGCATGCAGATTGCACTATGGCAACCTACATAGACGATTGGCTGCCTGGGGATCCTGTGGCACTCCGTGAAGCAATCAGTGGCTGATCGTGCTCACCTGCCGCTACAAAACACTGGAAAACCTTCACTCGGGGCATCTGTTTTGGAGAGTGTGCAATTTGCCCTTCCTGCCTCCCTCTGTGAACTGTGCTCGCTCAACTCTATTCAAAGTGGTGAACTTTGTGGGTTAACCCCGGTGTATGGTTGAGCTTAGCCTGTTTAGACTTGTCATTTGTTATTCTCACCTGTGTTTGCCTTATGTGTTAATTGGTTGCCCAGTGGCGTGTTGAACACAGCCCTGTCAGTTTTCTGTTTAAAGTTTGCAATAAACCTTTTTTTTTTTTAAACTGATTCCCCTCAGGGTGGCCTTGTTTGTGTTCGTCTCCTTAGTTATGTTGCGGCTTTTTATGTTGTGGCAGTTCTTACTTGGCACCCTATCTTACACTTTGTCTAGATCCGCAAAGAAATGATGCTCCATCTGACCATCTGTAGTACTCTTTCTTGACAGGAACTGATCATCAGTTCTCTTCTTAACCTAACTTCAACTCTTTCTCATAGCTTGACATGGCTCATCAACTTTATCCCTCTGCAGTTACCACTGTTCTGCACATCACTCGTCTTCTTGAAAATTTGTACCAGTACACTTCTTCTCCATTTCTCGGGTATCCTCCCCTAGACCCCATCCCTAGACATCTCCATATATGCACAGGTATGTCATCTAGACCACTTCTCTTCCTCTTCGTAGCTACCAACACTGCCTCCTTAAAATCGAAGACTCAATGTGAGATCTTTGCTACATTTCTGTGCTTTGTAGTGTTGCCCTATTAATGTGAGATATGTGCCATGTTTGTGGGGTATTAATGGCTGCTCATTAATGATTTTTGTATCACAGTTGAGCTTATGGAGCGTGAACATTTTGCTTCACTATTTAGATGTACCCATTAAAACAATGATTCCAGTGGGGCTTTTTCTCCTTTTTAAAAAAAATTTAATCTAAATGATCATTATTATATTCCATTAACAACTATTGTTTTCGACCTTATTTTTTATAATTAGCAAGAAAACACATTTGACTGTGAGAGCTAAGGAACTAACCAGTGTTTTCTGCACACCATTCTTCCTATATCTTTTAATCAATCAAGGTGTTGCAACAGAGTATGACTAATAAATCAGTTTAATGAGTTGGCAAATCTGTTTGGGATTTAGCTTAGAAACCATTAATCACATTGTGAAGTGTTTCTGCAGGGGCAAAGAAATTTAGTGAATGTCCTTACCTCCCATCGGACAACCAGTGTTTGCCATTAGGAGTAATAATGAACCCTGCCCATTAAACAATATGCAAGCTCACAGACTGACCGCAGAGACGCCCAAACTAAAGTATCCATTACATGCCGTGTTTATCCAGTCTCAGGAGTAATTTAACAATGAAACAGTTACCCAATAAATTACAAGAAAAAGTCACTTGGGCTCTCATTGCCAGTGTGTTATCAGAATAAGCAGCATGCAGAGTAATGATAGTCATACGCCTTAGCAATGAACAAAAAGTTGGGTGTAAAAGCAAAAACATGGCATTTTCTAGAATGAACTTAAACTTGTATGGCAGTAGTGCATGGAGAAAAATGTTTATTACTGAGTCGAATCATTTACCTAATGTTAAAATCTGTTTAGTGTAAACTCTTATATAATTATGGCTGAACAATGTACTGTTTCAGTGCCCTGTTATATAAGGATTGGTGTAATTTTTTTTAATGTCTTTGGATACAATGTTTTTAAACAGTCTTCATCTACATTACTGTTTAATTTAAGATCCAGCAAGTTAGATATGATGAATTTACTTGCATCATTTAATCACTTTTTAGATTGTGAAGTCCGAGCTAGTTCAGATAAGCAGCTCAAGATACTGTGTGCCATACATACTTTAAATTCTTCACTTTCCTCATAATGGATTGTATTTATATAGCGCTTTTCGGGGCCCTCAAAGCACTTTACAATTCCACTATTCATTCACTCTCACATTCACACACTGGTGGAGGCCCTGGGGCAGACTGACAGAAGCAAGGCTGCCATATCGTGCCATCAGCCCCTCTGGCCATCACCAGTAGGCGGTAGGTGAAGTGTCTTGCCCAAGGATACAGCGACCGAGACTGTCCGAGCCGGGGCTCGAACCGTCAACCTTCCGGTTACAAGACGAACTGCCAAGTCTTGAGCCACGATCGCCCTCATGTCATATATTGAATGCAAGTATCCAGTTTCGCAGATTGTTTAAGTTTCTTCTTCATACAACCCCTCCACCACCACGTCATCTACCCATAGGCTACTCTCTTCAGTTTTCTATGCAACATATTTATGGAACATGAACACCAAACTAACAATGTTCTGCTACTGATGTAAATTAATCAGTTCAAACTTGAGTTGTCCAATTGGAAATAATAAAAAAAACAGGTTCCAGTGTTTTCAGATGTTTTTGTTTGCATGATTTCTTTGAACTGTACAAACCATTTGTCCTGAAATGTCCTGAAAAGCCAATACCACAGATGCACAGACCTGCTCCATGGCGTCTAAATCCATTAGCACTTTGTATTATGCAGGTAGACTGTGCAGAGAAAATGTTCTTATGCTGCGTGATTCTCATAATGTCTGTGACAATGCGCTTCCTAAAAATGGCATCTTCCTTTTTCCTGATATGACAGCACAGATCCAGTCTCCACTGGTGAGGCGGCTCTATTATTAAACTATCACTCACTTCGATTACAGCTGTGATGACATCTGATCATTAATCACCAGCAACAGAAGCCTGCCACCTCAAAAGTCTATTAAGAGTTAACAAAGGGCAGTCAAGGCGATTACAGCAAACCTGCGGCCAGCTCCGGCTACGTGAGGCAAAGAGGTGAATAACAATTCAGTGTCCTGAGAATCAAGCATCTACTTCTCTAATTTAATTGGCTGAAAACAGCAGACTAACTGAGTCAGATGTGTTGCAGCAGGGGTTCATTGTGACACCAGGCATGTCGTCAGCTACATTATAAAATCAAAACATATCTAATGCTGTACAATGCAGTACTGCAGCACTGGAAAAAATGCATGAAATTTTTAGCCTTAAACAAAATCCCATTGAACTGCTGTCATTTCAACTCAAGACCCCTGTTTTCCTTGAAATAACAATTATTCATGGTTTGGCCTGCAGAGGGAAATGACTGACACTTGCTCTCCTTGAGCAATAACACGTTCAATTGAACTGAGTTACGAGCTGTCACATTAACATGTGGCAAGGCAAAGTATCCATGGACACTGAAAGACACTGAGACAGACAGGAAAGCCTCTGAAATCCTAAACTGCATATTCTCACCGGAGGATTACAGCTCATTCCATATATTTTTTAAACTCTTTAAAATGAATTTAAAGCAGTTGGGCTGTTGCTGAAGTTCCAGCTGATGAACTGCTATATTCATATTTTTGCGTTATTTGTATATCTGCATTTACATGAAACCCACATTATGACATTGTGAATGTCTTATTCACTGATAAGCAGATTACATTTGTCCCTTCACACTTCCCCTCAGCTTCTCACCCAGTTGTTCATCTTTACAGCACCATCTTAACTGACATGAATCAAGATGCCATGAATTTACATCAACACAGAAGCCCTTAGCAGTTCTCTCTGAGTTTACAGTATAGCCTCTAGCAATGTGACAGTCAAGGATATTTATAAATGACGAGAAGCACATTCCACACCTTTAGAGCTTTTCGATGTTTACTTAGATGATGGGAAACTACAAAAGGAGAGAGCAAAGGCAGAAGAGGAAGCTCAGACAGGATTTGATCCCTGCTCAGCAGGGACACGCTGGGTTAGCCAAGAGGAGAAAGTTAACAAGCTGACAATTACTAAAAGTGAGCTAAAGATTGCTGACAGCAAAATATTTCCACAATCATAATGTCAAATGATAGTAATTTGAATCTTACTATTTAGTAGAGGGATGACTGAAACGAAAAATTTGAATATATATGTATTGTTTTCTATGCATCTAACGGCACAGTCACTGTCAGACATGTGCTGCTTGACAAACAATATATTTACAATATCACTACTTGTTTCTTAGAACAATTAATGGTTTTGCTGAAGTTTATGTTCAAATTGTCAAAAAAAAAGTAGTGTGTACCAGTAAACAACAAGCTTACCTGATTATTGATGGGTAAATGGTGGGTGCACAATATATAGGACGTTGACTCTGGTGACAAGGATTCACATCCAGGGTCATGCCTTCAGATTAAGCCTAAGAAAACTGCTTACATTATCGAAATGACAGCATGAACTATATGAACAACATTGTTCACCATGTTTAGCAAATTTTTTGGCTGGTTTGCTTGACCTGTGTTGAGTCTTCCCTTCCCCTACTGGTTTATCTGTTACTTATGATCATCCCACAGGTGTATCTGGTCTGATGAACTGCAAACCTATAAATGATGAGCAGGAAGTTGTCTTTGTCTCTCTCTCTCTCTCTGGATTAAATTAAAGCGGACACCAAATCCCGCAACAATTCTCAGGTTGTTTTGAGTCATTAATTTTGGTCATTTCTTTTGTTTCTTAACAAATGTGGTGATATTTCCAAGAAATCCTAGACTCTTTCTAGTTATGTTAAATTTCGTTTGTAGTGATACATTCTGGAAGCTTCTGCCACAAAGATAGCCAAAGGAAGTTATTAGAATTCTTCTTGAGAATCATGTGAATGAATTTCACAACAGTCTATCTTACAGGAAAGCCGGGGTTTAACTAAAGTTACAATACATTATCTGGGACTGAATCTGCAGAAAATGTCATGGTAACAGATATTTCTGTCTGGACCAAAAGCTAACCGGTCTGGGGCTTGATGTATGACTGAAGTATGTGCACAAAAATATGCTTTTAATTCTTCCAGTTTCCTCATGAACTAGGAATATTGAAAAATGAAGAATGTGTGGACCTTGGATGTCTAAGACCATGCCCCCCCCCATCATTTTCTTTACCTCTGCCAGCATCCTTCACTCAAAACTTAGAGAACTGATATCCTCCATTATTTTTTTTTTATCCTTCAGTAGTTTTCGTCTGTCAGGGAAGCAGCCTGTTTTAATTGCAGTAACTGTGCAACAAATTATATAGTTATTTGCAAATAGTATAGGAGTTTCTGCAGGCATTTCCGACTAAAGACAGGAGTGAAAATCACCTTTGGGCACTTGTGTAAAATTTCACAACAGCTGATATTATAAAAATTATTATTATTTTATAAAACTGATGACACAAATAACACACATCTGATTCTAACTAGTGAATCTTCACATAGTTTTATGCATCTTGCTGCAGGTTGAACTGATT